AATTAAAATATAAACTAATGTTTTAAAAATGTGTTATTCGGCAAGTGACCATGGTATAAGCGGGTTAATGCCCTTCGGCGGAGGCAACCGCTGCGCGTCGGACGGTTCACGCCTCGCCGTCTTCCCGAAGGGCATTAACCCTTACTTGGAATCTTAGTTTAGATTTTAGAAATCAGATTCTAGCTATATTCTAATTTAAGACTGTTTTGAATTTGGTGTTTGAAACCAACTTAATAAAAGTGCGTAGTGAGTAAAATCTATACCTACACTGGAAAAAAAATATATATAAATCATTTTAACTCGTATTTCATACTTGTATAGGCTAAATTTCAAAACAAATGACAAAGAAATGGGATGTAACACATTGAATTTAACGTGACATTTTTAAAGAGGAACATAATGAGTGAATAAATAGTTGAGTTGTCAGGCTTTTCCAAATGTAGTGTTGTGATTTAAAATCCTTAAATAAAAATCTAAATGACAACACCGTTCACAATAACAATGTGTGATTGTTATTATATTTAGTGTCATGGAAAATAGAACCACACTCTATTCATTAATTTTTTATTTTTTTTTTAAATTCAATGTCTTAAGACTTATTTCTTCAAAGGCAACTAATGTTTATATTTAAATTTTCATGAGAAAAACCCAATCGCACTCACAGAAAGATCCAGATATGAGAGAGTCTTCAAAGCCGAGATAAAGGAGAGGTATTGAGTGCGCGCTCACCTGGACGAGTGTGTGTCGTGTATGTAGTAGAACATCACACACACACTCTGAGAGATGACCAGGACCATCAGGAGCCTGAAGATCCACTGGAGAAACACCCCTGCCATCAGAAGCACAAGTGCTGGAGCCAGTGTGTGTGTGTGTGACTGAGATGGAGAGATTATAAATGACACACACACACACACACACCTGTTCTTAACTCCGCCCCTCTCACTTCATGAATGTGATAAAGTGATATTCTGCAGTGATGATGCATGATGTGTCATGTTTGATAAAGCACAATCTTCAAGTACATTTCATTCTTATCCTATATATCGTATATTAAAATCCATGTTGTATTTGTATATGGACTCTGAGGTCAGCTTGGCAACTTCTCGGAGGAGTTTGGTGTGTTTCTGTCGTCATTCCCGGAGGAGTTCTGGGAAAACTGCTGGTTTCCACACTTTGCTCGACCTCAAGCACGTGTTCACGGCTCCTCACACATCAGCAGATCTGAGATCAGTCAGGGGAGCACTAAAGTCTGTCCTGATAACACCACCGGCTATAAAACAGTGGAACAGTATTTCAATGATGATTATGGCCTACAGCTTATGAAAACCTTTTCACAATATTCTAATTTTGAATTTGGGGTTTTCATATCTGTAAGCCATAATCATCACAATTATAACAAATGAAGGCTTGAAATATCTCACTTTGCATGTTATGAGTCTATATAATATATTAGATTCACCTTTTAAGTTGATATATAACACGATATTCTAGTTTTCTGAGTGTCGCCTGTGTGTTGATCAAAGATCTGGTTGTCAGAGACTCCCTCTCAGACTGTGATAGCGCACAATATTGAAATAGAGGGATTATCTTCCATATGTCAACATCGTTACCATGCAAATCCTGTTAAACGGGAGATAATGAGAGAGGAGATGAAGTATCTGTAGATCCTAATCCTGAACTTAGAGGCTTTTCCTCAATGTTTTCTGCAAAACCACACACAACATGTCCTCATTTTACACAGGTTTAACAATGTTCTCATTCAGATCATTCACATAATAACATTAACTCAAGCGTCACACCCTGTTGTCAAAGAGCACACATTTCTCCATGTGTAAACACAGGATAATTACAGTAAACTCATTATTTTGTGTACAGTAATAGCATAATCTGCTAATTGATTCGCAGCCGAGTGCTTCTTGCGTGTGTGTTTGCTGAGCCGAGAGACGAGTGAACTAGAGGAGCGAGAGAAGGACTCGTCAGAAGAACACACTTTTACAGCGGCAAAATAATTCTCCAGGAACTTTTCAAAACCCCAACAAAACGCTGGCCTTAGGATTAACACTTCAACATTTCTGACGTGTATTTAGGCCACCAGCGTCTGATGACATGGCCAATTGTTAAATTTAACATGTTAAATGAAACGGCCCTAAACCGTCTCAAGTGTCTTATATCGTTGGAATCCTCAACACAGACAAAATTGCTCGTCATTTGGCGAAAGTTTCTGGTATTTGGGATTTTTTGGCCCTGATCGGAACCAAACCAGTGCAGGAAGATTCCCTGGAGTCCGATTGTCAATGATCATTAAAACAAAGTTGAAATAAAATGGCTAAAACTCATGAACGGAATGAGATTTCACATACAAGAGCTAATTCTGTGGTTCACGTGGGGACTGGCCACTTGGTGGCGTTATAACATGGAGAGAAAAAAACAACAAAAATGGCTATAACTACGCAACACTAAGTCTGATTGACTTGAACATTGGTATGCGGTGTCTTCGTCCAAAGTGCCAAGACTGACGCCAGCGACGGCCAATGAGGTTTGAGCAGCTAACAGACAAGGTTAACGGAGGCCGATCGGAACGAAACTCGGTGGGCCTGTATGACTCATGCCTGTAATCACATGGTGTTTCACACATCCACATAATATTAATATCATTTGAAAGATCTCCTCATACTGAACAGCTTTGCCTCAAGAACCACTGCTGTCAATCAAATCGTTCATTAAACGGGTCATATAATGCCATTTTTGTACAAGCTAATATGATTCTTTAGGGTCTAAATTAAAAGTTTGTAATATACTTTAATTAAACATTCTCATTAGTATTGTAAGAAAACACTTATTTTTCCCGGTTAAAAAACAGCTCTGTTTTCAGCACGCCGTTTCAGTGCATATGCCTTTAAATGATAATGAGCTTTGCTGACTCCGCCTCTCTGTTCTGCGCGTACACCGTTTGTAACACAATAACCATAACGCGTTGTTCAGTATAAACGTGGGATTATGAATTATATTGAGAACGTCATACATAGAAAACATGCCGTAATGTACCCTGAGTGTAAACCTTAGACGCATTCATTGTGAAGCGTGCAGCTAGCGATTTGCAAAGATTAATATATTAATATAAAGTTTAATAAAACGTTACACTCACTTCAGTTGTTCTAGAGGTTCAGCAGGAACACGAATAGTTGGTACCGGTCCAGGAGCAGCTTCTTAGCAAATCCAGCTTTATACTGACCCTCGTTTATAAAGCAGTCTGCTGTGAAATGATTCGCGCAAACATGAGAGCATTGACGTTGCTCGTGGGGAATATTCCCTTCGAAAACAAACTCAGCCACTGCGTCTTCAGCGGTTCGGATTTAGGAACATTAAAATGACTGTGTTCGTTATTACACCCAAGAACAGAACACCACAATCGCTTAGAGCCATTCTGCTCATAGACAGTGCTCCGGCATATCAACAATGACCGCGCCGGTCCGCGCAGACTATGATTGACAGCTCTCACGAGCGAGGGCGGGTCTGTGTTGAAACGATGCTGTCAATCAACAATCGTGGGAGGGGCGTCCGTTTTATTGACGTCACAGGCTCGAACGGCTTGATTTGAGTCAGGGGAAACATATAAGGAGATTAAAACAAAAACACTGGATGGATTTTTATCATTGTATGATGGTTGTGTACAGACACTGCCAACACACATTTCAGTACAATCAACTTGAAAAAGTGCATGTACCATTATATGACCCCTTTAAATATATTCACGATTATGTAAAACAACCTACTTTTGCAAGCTAGTCCTAGGTTTTTAGCTCAACCTCAATAAAATCAGTGCAGTCCAATTTTCTGGACTCTCTAGCTCAATAATTACTAAACAAATATTGAACTTTTCCCTTTGGGTTTATGTAGAAAATGGGCGTGGCAAAATATACTCAAGAGCCTATTAATCCTAAACGAATATGCAAAACTTCACCAAATTAAGTGAGCACATGCAACATATGATTCTAAACAAGCATGCCAACTTTTATGGAGATTGGACCATAGGTGGCGCTATAAGTGTTAAAAAGCTTTAGAAACCATATATGCCCAATGGTAAATTGCATGTATTGGCTGCAAATGGTGTTTTCCATCTATAATCTAAGTGGTTTCATGCTTGCTAAATGGAAAAATCCCCTTTTACGCATTGGCTTAGAGGCCTTAAAGTGCTTGAACCCCGATATTTGCTGCTCGCAGCTGTATTTATTTTGTATCTTTTTACCAATACTGGAGTTTGTGTCTTATCGGCGGGGGTGTCTCGACTTGGACGTATATGGTATTAAACTGTGGTTCGTGGACATCTTTTGTTAATGATTATAGTAAAAGGTATAGAGAAATGTTGTAGAATCTTGTAGAAGTTTTTTTTTCCTTTCTATTATTGTGTCGGTATTAAAAGGTAATCTGTAAATATATGATTATATATGAGAAATATGATATATCTGTCCATATTATGAAAAGTAGATTTTCTCCTGGTTTGAAATGGATAGGGAGTTGGGGAAGTGGAATGTTTTTTGTTTTTTTAACTTTTACTTTGTTAGGTTATGGTAGCGTTTAAATAAACATATAGTTTCTGTTTTGTTTGTTATTTTGCCCTGTAAAAGGAAAAGTGGGACGTAACACAAATAAATTAAATAAATTCATCATTTTTGTAAGTCATAATAGTGTAAAAGAGCTCAGATCAACCCACTTTTGTTTCCGATGTTTATTTTCAAAAGGCAACAAATAATTTAAAGCGGTCTGTACAAAGCTTGAGTACAAAAGCTATTTCAGAAAGTATTGCTCTTTAAAAAAAATCTCTGCCTTGAATATTCTATAAAAATCAAGTAAAAATACTCTTTTCGTCAAGCTTTAAAAGTTCACTTAAAACAGACATCTTTCGAAGGAGTGAATCTCTGACCTCACGTGTGCCAGAGATCGTTTGTAACAATCTGCTCGAATGTAACATCCGATTTTTGATTTACAGACAAAGCACAAACACACACACACACACATAGACAGTTCACATGATTTTCAAGGGTCCACGAAGGAGACCATGATGTATCGAGTGCCTTGTGTGGTGGGGAGCCCCTCGTGGTAGTGCGTCAGGCGGCCCGGGTGCATGAACGACCAGCCCTTCCTGGGAGACTCCACCTTACAGTCGTAGCGCAGGAACCGGCAACCTCCACCCTGACACACACAAACACACACCTGAAGCCCCGCTAGCGAACTCATGTCTGAACAATAATGTAAATAAGGTTTGTTTGACACCGTATCCTAACCAGACATGACGCGCAATAAAAGCCATGTTAATCAGAGTTTATCCTGACCAGCCGTGACAGCGACGCGTGCCGATTCTGTTTTAGAAATGGGTTTTGTTTCTGCGACGTCGAGGCAGGAACACCAACATACAAAGTATGACAATGATAAACTCGGGTACTAATTTGTGCTTTTTTAATGGTATTAATGGACCCTTATAGCGCTTGCAGAGAGACTCCGCCCACACACTCTTCTGATTGGCTGTGATTTTGGATTGATTTGGTTGTGAGTGCAGCGCGCTTGCAGAGAGACTCCACCCACACACTCTTCTGATTGGCTGTAATATTTGATTGATGTGGTTGTGAGTGCAGCGCGCTTGCAGAGAGACTCCACCCACACACTCTTCTGATTGGCTGTGATTTTGGATTGATTTGGTTGTGAGTGCAGCGCGCTTGCAGAGAGACTCCACCCACACACTCTTCTGATTGGCTGTGATTTTGGATTGATTTGGTTTTGAGTGCAGTGCGCTTGCAGAGAGACTCCGCCCACACTCTCTTCTGATTGGCTGTGATTTTGGATTGATTTGGTTGTGAGTGCAGCGCGCTTGCAGAGAGACTCCACCCACACACTCTTCTGATTGGCTGTAATATTTGATTGATGTGGTTGTGAGTGCAGCGCGCTTGCAGAGAGACTCCACCCACACACTCTTCTGATTGGCTGTGATTTTGGATTGATTTGGTTGTGAGTGCAGCGCGCTTGCAGAGAGACTCCACCCACACACTCTTCTGATTGGCTGTGATTTTGGATTGATTTGGTTTTGAGTGCAGTGCGCTTGCAGAGAGACTCCGCCCACACTCTCTTCTGATTGGCTGTGATTTTGGATTGATTTGGTTGTGAGTGCAGCGCGCTTGCAGAGAGACTCCGCCCACACACTCTTCTGATTGGATGTAATATTTGATTGATTTGGTTGTGAGTGCAGTGCGCTTGCAGAGAGACTCCGCCCACACACTCTTCTGATTGGATGTAATATTTGATTGATTTGGTTGTGAGTGCAGCGCGCTTGCAGAGAGACTCCGCCCACACACTCTTCTGATTGGCTGTGATTTTGGATTGATTTGGTTGTGAGTGCAGTGCGCTTGCAGAGAGACTCCGCCCACACTCTCTTCTGATTGGCTGTGATTTTGGATTGATTGGTTGTGAGTGCAGTGCGCTTGCAGAGAGACTCCGCCCACACTCTCTTCTGATTGGATGTAATATTTGATTGATTTGGTTGTGAGTGCAGTGCGCTTGCAGAGAGACTCCGCCCACACTCTCTTCTGATTGGCTGTGATTTTGGATTGATTTGGTTGTGAGTGCAGTGCGCTTGCAGAGAGACTCCGCCCACACTCTCTTCTGATTGGCTGAGATTTTGGGTTGATCTGGTTGTGAGTGCAGTGCGCTTGCAGAGAGACTCCGCCCACACTCTCTTCTGATTGGCTGTGATTTTGGATTGATTTGGTTGTGAGTGCAGTGCGCTTGCAGAGAGACTCCGCCCACACTCTCTTCTGATTGGCTGAGATTTTGGGTTGATTTGGTTGTGAGTGCAGTGCGCTTGCAGAGAGACTCCGCCCACACGCTCTTCTGATTGGCTGTAATATTTGATTGATGTGGTTGTGAGTGCAGCGCGACTACAGAGAGACTCCGCCCACACACTCTTCTGATTGGCTGAGATTTTGGATTGATTTGGCTGTGAGTGCAGTGCGCTTGTAGAGAGACTCCGCCCACACGCTCTTCTGATTGGCTGTAATATTTGATTGATGTGGTTGTGAGTGCAGCGTGACTGCAGAGAGACTCCACCCACACACTCTTCTGATTGGCTGTAATATTTGATTGATGTGGTTGTGAGTGCAGCGCGACTACAGAGAGACTCCGCCCACACACTCTTCTGATTGGCTGTAATATTTGATTGATGTGGTTGTGAGTGCAGCGCGACTGCAGAGAGACTCCGCCCACACGCTCTTCTGATTGGCTGTAATATTTGATTGATGTGGTTGTGAGTGCAGTGCGACTACAGAGAGACTCCGCCCACACACTCTTCTGATTGGCTGAGATTTTGGATTGATTTGGCTGTGAGTGCAGTGCGCTTGTAGAGAGACTCCGCCCACACGCTCTTCTGATTGGCTGTAATATTTGATTGATGTGGTTGTGACTGCAGAGAGACTCCACCCACACACTCTTCTGATTGGCTGTAATATTTGATTGATGTGGTTGTGAGTGCAGCGTGACTGCAGAGAGACTCCACCCACACACTCTTCTGATTGGCTGTAATATTTGATTGATGTGGTTGTGAGTGCAGCGCGACTGCAGAGAGACTCCGCCCACACACTCTTCTGATTGGCTGTAATATTTGATTGATGTGGTTGTGAGTGCAGCGCGACTGCAGAGAGACTCCGCCCACACACTCTTCTGATTGGCTGTAATATTTGATTGATGTGGTTGTGAGTGCAGCGCGACTGCAGAGACTCCGCCCACACACTCTTCTGATTGGCTGTAATATTTGATTGATGTGGTTGTGAGTGCAGCGCGACTGCAGAGAGACTCCGCCCACACACTCTTCTGATTGGCTGTAATATTTGATTGATGTGGTTGTGAGTGCAACACGACTACAGAGAGACTCCGCCCACACACTCTTCTGATTGGCTGTAATATTTGATCGATGTGGTTGTGAGTGCAGCGCGACTGCAGAGAGACTCCGCCCACACACTCTTCTGATTGGCTGTAATATTTGATCGATGTGGTTGTGAGTGCAGCGCGACTGCAGAGAGACTCCGCCCACACACTTTTCTGATTGGCTGTAATATTTGATTGATGTGGTTGTGAGTGCAGCGCGACCAGAGCCATAGAGAGAAAGAGTTGCGACACTCCCATAGACCGCCATAGGAACTTTGGAATGCGGAAGTAACGCGTGTCGTGGAGCGGCCGATAGTTCCAAACACTGATAGTTCCCCCATTGAACCCCATTCATTTTCAGTGCTTCAGAAGTACGTTCGCTGGTAAATTAATGAAATTACTGTATTTTTTTACTTTTACACACATTAGCCGACCTCTCGTGAATCTAGTCTGTAGTTATATTTTATGTAGCCAGTTTTAGTAAATGTTTATTGGAAGATAAAAGGTTAATTGCAGCTATAGCTTACGTGACCAACACTTCACTAACGTTAGCTAACTGGTAACCTGTCCTGATGTATATAATATATAATATTTTTAATAATATTTTATATGTATATATATATATATATTAGGGGTGTAACGATATTTGAACCGAACCGAAAAACCGCGATACACCACCCACGATACGTATCGCGATACTCTCATGGCGAACCGAACACGCCTCGCCCCCTGCGGCCCCGCCCAGCCCCGGCTCATTGCACCTCATGTGTTATGTGTACACAACAAATACAGGGCTGTTGCCTAACCACCATTAACCACATATAATCGCAATAAGCTCAGTGTTTTGTTACTTTTGATAATAAGCAAGGTGTAATCTTTCAAATTATGTCTATTTGATCACGAAATGCAAACAATAAATGCCGTTTTGGCGCTCTTAGATGTGGCGTGACAGATATCACTGTATGCATGCGGCAGCGCGGAGCGTGATCATCTCTTCCTCAGTTACAGAATAAACATGAATGGACACCCGAAGGTATGTTGAAAGATACAGTATACTTACTGAAAGGCATCATAACTCGTGTAAACACTCAATCAGTGTTTCAACAGCGGAAATACGTCAATAAAACGCTTAGTTTTTCACATAGCTTTATATTTACCTCAGGCAAGTCATTCAGTGTCCACAGCTTGCTGGTTTGCTAACTCTTTCACTAAATAAATGCTCTATATTAGCCTATATATTATATTTTACTTAACCTGTTTATGATATCTTGGTTATTTAATGTATGTTTAAAATAGTTGTCATGAAAATAACAGCAACTGTGTAAATTATTATATAACAATAACAAATTAGAGTAAAAACATGTTAATGCAAATATTGCCTTATGTGCAGTTTACATGTTTTCATACAATTTGTTATTTGAGTGTTGATTATTATTATATCATTTAGGCTAAAAGTCTAGGCTCTGTTGTTAAGCTTTAATGTTATAGTAATGTGCAAGTAAGGGCTGTAGTTTACAGCATTAGCAGATAATTTTGTTATCCTTGAGAAACGTTTACTTGTAATTGAATTAATTTAAAGACAAGGACACAATTTGTTCATTAAAGCACTGTTTAATAAAAAATAAAAGCAATTTTAGCTTTCTAAACCCCCCCCACCCCACCGAAATGAACCGAACCGAACCGAGACCTCAAAACCGTGGGACGAACCGAACCGTCAGGTTTGTGTATCGTTACACCCCTAATATATATATATATATATATATAGCCTATATATAATATTATATACATACACACACACACACACACACACACAATTCATTTATTTAAATGGGTTAGGGCTATGTATGTGCTTATATGTATTTAGGAACATAGTTAATTAACTCATTAACTATCTCTCCGGTTTAATTTTATGAAGAATATTTTTAGGTTGAATATTTACCGAACATTGCTGTATATAGTCGTTGCTTTCTACGTTATGGGAGCAGTCTATTTCCCTCCTAAATCATTCATTTGTACATGCACAGCGTAATTATTTATATTTTATGTTGGTTGGAATTCTGAACGGACTGCAGACCTCTTTGCGTGATCATGAAGGTAGGCTAATGGCTGAATCGGAATTTATAAGCAAGATCACAGGAATCAATAGCCTAATACAGCCCAGTTGTGCTAAAATAAATATCATGAGACGTCCATCATCAGATGAATGACATGGAAAAGTTAAGTTAGAGCCGCTAAAGCCAGTGCTATTACTACCCATGCGAACATGAACACTAAGCTTTTCC